TCGTGACCGGTAACGGGATCTCAACCCTCAGTGTCGCGCCTGCACCACGCTCAACCAGTGAGCGGACCGGTCTCTATATGGGATCCGAACCCTTGGCGGGAGCGCCGCCACACTCCTAAGCGCCGCACTCTACCGAGTGTGCCACCGGGCCGGCCCGGGATAGCTTTCTTGATAACTTTTTCTGTTAGTTTGTTGTTGGTGTATAGAAATGGGGCTGATTTTTGTATGTTGATTTTGTATCTTGCTACTTTACTGAATTCTTTTATTGGTTTAGGAGTGTTTTGGTAGTCTTTCGGTTTCTCTTTATATAAAATCATGTCATTTGCAAACAAGGACAACGTGACTTCCTCTTTTCCAATTTGGACCCTTTATTTCTTTCTCTTGCCTAATTGCTCTAATAGCTCTGGTTTCAAGATGGTGCCATCCTGCATTGGCTTGGGTCACAAGGGTGGGAGGTGGAGAGTGCACAGTTTGTGCTACTGTTCTAGAGCGATGCAATGTGTGTATTCTAGGCTGCTCCCCACTCTTGGCTCTGGGCTTGTCTTGCCAAAGGATCTGTGGGCCTCTGTGGTGAGGATGAGGGTTGGTATGGGTCCTCTGCCTACCTTTTCAGGCACAAGAGAAAATTTTTCTTGGGCGATCCCAGTATAGGAGACATGGTGGCTGAGGCCATATTCCTCTCTCCTCTCTGTGCCACCATCCTGGGCTTTCATGCTCCACAGGGATCTCACCAGTCACCTGCTGCACTCCTATGGTCTCCCACCTATGTTCCTGTCAATATTTAGCTGTCTGTTAGTTGTTCTGGTCCTTTTCTGTAGGAGGAACATGCCCCAGGCAACTCTAGTCTGCCATCTTGCCACGCTCCCTCTCTCCCTTTGGATTCACCTCTTCTATGAATCCATCCTCACAAGTTTTCATGTCTGGCTTTCTGGTCCACAGGCCTCAGTGGTGATCAGGGAGTGTGTCGTGGGCCTAGCAGCAGCAGGGGCATGCTGGGGCCAGTCAGGCTTTGCCCCTCTGGGCCAGAGGGCCTCACCATATGCCCCTGCTACTTTAAAAGCCTCAATGCATTGTTTAGAAGTGTGTTGTTTACTTTTCAAGTGTTTGAGGATTTTCCTGATTTCTAGTTTTATTTTATTACAGTCAGAGAACATACTTAATATAATTTCAATTGTTTTACATTTGTTGGGATTTGTTTTATGACCTAGGATGTGCATTATCTTGGTGAAAATTTCCAGGTTCTTGAAGAAATGTGTATTCTGCTATTGTGGGTGGAATGAGATGGGTAACAGAAATGAGTAGACTTTCTAGATATGTATAATCTGCAAATGCCCGTTAAGTGTAATTGACTTTCCTTTCTTTCTCTTCTTTTTTGGCAGAATTGCTCCTGCTTTACTAAGACAGGCATCATATGGCACCATTAAAATTGGGATTTACCAAAGCTTGAAGCGATTATTTGTAGAACGTTTAGAAGGTCAGTATACTCACTATCTTTTGAGGTAATACTCAAAGGGATTATTGACATCATGCTTAGTGAGAAGTGTTCATCATGTGATGCCTGAAAAAGGGCGACAGTTACTGCAAGGACAAAGTGAGCTTGTACTGATTTGAGATAAATTCTTACAGAGGTCATATATGGGTTAGAGGGACCTACTCTTCAAATTTTTCCCTTTTCCTATCAATAAAAAAAAAGGTTTCTGGTCATCCCAAAGGAAATATGGAATAATCTTGTCCAGAAAATTAATGCTGTCCTCATCAATGAGTGCACTTCAACTCTAAGCCATTTTCTAGCTGCCAATTTTGATAAACTTTTGTTAAGTGGAATAATTTTAGGCTAATTATATTCTAGAGTCTGTTGTACCTATGGCCATATTACCCACATTCAGCATTATCATGTCTGTTTGCTGCTGCAACATTTTCAGCATCATACTTTACTAAATGGTTATTTTACCACAAGCCTGGGGCTGTTGGATGGTTGGAGACAGCTAGAGAGCCTTTCGGTTAGTAATGTCCTTTGAATCACTTTATTATCCTAGATCGGTTTTTTCTGGATCCTCTTTGGGGATCCTGAAGCACTTCCTTCTACCTCTTTCTAAAATTTCCTTTCATAGATTTTTCACTTGGGTTTACTTATTTTTTACTTGTAGGCTCTTCATGGTAGGGAGGAGTGGTGAAGTTTAAATTTTCACTGTAGAACAATATGCTCTGTGGTTTCTTCTTTTTTGTACCTAAGGGGATTTAGTTCTAAATGATTGCTTTGCCACATTTGACTACAGAAGCCTTCTGTAAATAAATAGAGCCTAAGAGATCTAAGGCCAGTCAAAATAATATTTAGATAACTTTTTTCTATTAGATATAAGATTTTATCTTTTAACATTCAGGTCCCGAATCTTTAGAACTGATGATTGTCCAGAAGAAGGCTTCAAAAAAGACACACACATGGGCTGGCACGGTGGCGCACTGGAGAGTGCGCCGCTTGGGAGTGCGGCGGGGCTCCCGCCAAGGGTTCGGATCCCATATAGAGACCGGTCCG